CTTGAGCCACATCCCCAGCCCCTCATCTAATTTTTTTAAGTATTTATTTTTTTAGTTTTAGGTGGACACAATATATTTTATTTTTATGTGGTGTTGAGGATCGAATCCAGCGCCCTGCGCATGTCAGGCAAGTGCAGTACTGCTTGAGCCACATCCCCAGCCCCTCATCTAATTTTTCCCCATTTTTTTCTCGTGTGTTATAGTTGTACATAATGGTTGGATTTGTTGTTAGATATTTGTTGTTAGGATATAGACCTCATCTAATTACTGCCCAAAGGGTTCAGCTCTAAATACTATTAACATATGAATTTGGAGATTAAGTGTCCAACCCATGAATTTGGGGGTAAATATATTCAAGACCATAGTACCTGATCTCTGGTAGTCTGTCATTGTAGCACAAACAGCAATGAAAGAGAAAAAAAAATGGTAAGTAGACTTCATTAAAATCAAAAGTTAGTTCTTGGTTTGGTTTTGTGGTTTCAGCCTCTAATCTGAGACACTCACTCCTGAGGCTGAGGCAGCAGGATTACAAATTTGAGGCCAGCCTTAGTAGCTTGGCAAGACCCTGTCTCAAAATAAAAAATGTAAAAAAGGGCTAGGCCGAGGCAAGAGGATGGCAAGATCAAAGCCAGCCTCAGGAATTTAGCAAGGCCCGAGGTAATTTAGACCCTGTCTCAAAATAAAAAATAAAAAGGACTGGGGATGTGGTGCAGTGGTTAAGTGCCCCTGGGTTTATTTAATCCCTGGTACCAAAAAAATTAAATAAATATATAAATAAGAAAAACAGCTGGGGATGTGGCTTAGTGGTTAATTAAGTACCTCTGGGTTCAATCCCTAATATCAAAACAAACAAAACAAAAACAAAAACAGACTGAGGGAGGCAGGCATGGTAGCACATGCCTGTAATCCCAGCAGCTCAGGAGGTTGAGGCAGGAGGATCAAAGCCAGCCTTAGCAATTTAGTGAGGCGCCCAGCAATTCAGCGAGACCCTGTCTCTAAATAAAATACAAAAAAGGACTGGGGATGTGGCTTAGTGGTAGTGATTGAGTGCCCTTAAGTTCAATCCTCTGTACCAGGAAAACAAACAAACAAACAAACAAACAACAACAATAACAAAACCCCCACCAGACTGAGATATAGCTCAGGATTAGAATCCTTGGTACAGAATAATAATAATAAAAATGTTCTGCTGGGCTGGGGATGTGGCTCAAGCGGTAGAGCGCTTGCCTGGTATGCGTGTGGCCTGGGTTCGATCCTCAGCACCACATACAAAACAAAGATGTTGTGTCCGTGGAAAACTAAAAAATAAATATTAAAATTCTCTCTCTCTCTCTCAAAATTCTGTGATAAAAATATATTGTCGGGCTGGGGATGTGGCTCAAG